ATTTTTGTCAAGTAATATATATATATATATATATATATATATATATATATATATATATATATATATATATATATATATATATATATATATATATATATATATATATATATATATATATATATATGACAAGTATTTATGTTTTCCTGTAACGTTTTTTCCTGTCAAGCGTATCTTTTGTCTGAGTGGATTGATAATGAGCCCTCATAGAGCTCGTAAGTCTGATTTGTTGCTTGAAACTTTGATGTTTCTTAAATGTAACAAAAAGACTTATAAGCTATATAGTGATAGTTAATGCTTTTGACATATATCTAATGCTAACGACTAGTTAGCATTAGCTATATCAACATATTTTCAATTAAAGGATGGTAATATTATTAATGCTTTTGATATATATCTAATGCTAACAACTAGTTAGCATTAGCTATATCAACATATTTTTAATTAAAGGTAATATTAGTTGTTAGCATTAAGCACAAAAGGAGGGGAGCCGTAAACTTTTTAGATAAATTTACTTCCATGGGGCTTTGTGATAAGACCGTAAGGACTTATGGAAACACCTTAATAAACATATTGAAACTAAAACTAGATGATTTTACAAGTAAATAAAGTTTACTAACAACAATATGCTCCTAATAAAAAAGGGTTTAACATAAAAATTATAATAGCATAATGTATACGACTATAACATGGGACGAAGCGAATGTAATAGTAAAAGTTAAGATAGAATTGATAATCATTGATAAGTGCTCTGAATTTTAACAATAAAGTAAGTATTTTGTACCCCGGAGACAGATTTTTCATAAAAATTGTTAAAAAGTGGTCCCAAATTAATAGCAATGTATTGTAATGGTCCCAAATTAATAGCAAAATTTATTTTTGTTCTGCTTAAAGTATATATTTATTTAACAACGAAAGATAAATCGTTTATATATTCATTTATTTGAAAATGAAAGAGTTTATAGAAACGATAATTGTTTTTTGAAAAAATACAAGCAAATTGGGCGGACCTGTACTCGGCGCACCCTAAACTCGGTGAAGTTCGTAAACGAACTCGGTAAAGTTCGAAACAATAATTTTGCCGTTTAATGATTGGCTAATATTAACGAATGAAAATTTAGCACAAAAGTTTTAATTCGCGCTTCAAAAGCCAATTTTTTACCGCCTTTAAAATAAGTAAGATGACACCTTTAGCTGAGTTCACTGAAAGTATCAAAGAAGAAAAATTGGTTGATTTTTTGCAACAAAAAAGGCTAATAAATAATAAAAGGCTAACTATGGATGTTGCTGCTGCTAATCAATTAGGTGGTCCAGGGCTCATTGTAGAAATAGATGAATCTTTATTTTTTAAACGAAAATATAATGTTGGGCATAACGTTGAAAAACATTGGATTTTTGGGGCATTTGATGTAACTAGTAAGAAAGGATACTTAAGAAGGGTAGAGGATCGAACAGCTCAGACATTAGTGCCAATAATTCAAAAAGGTTAAAGTATGTTTTTGGATCACAGGGTGATTTAAAGTGGTCTAGGCTAGATGAAGCTGTATACAGAGAATATTATGATTTTTATAATAAAAATGTTTGGGAAAATTTCTCTTTATTCTTAAAACATATTAATGATAGGTATCCTCTGTAATGTAAAATAAGTATTATAATATAATATTTATATTAAAAGTGTTTCATAATATTTATATTAAACTTGTTTTTTTTTTTATGTACAACACAAAATATACGTTGCAAAAACTAAAAGAAGATAAGCCACAAAAAGATATGCAAAGAAGATAAGCTAGAAGAAGATAACTGTAGAAGATTGATTAAAAGAATATTAGCCACAAAAAGAAATGTAAAGAAGAGAAGATACGAGAAAATACCTTTAGATGATCGATTAAAAGAAGATAAGCTACAAAAAGAAATCTTAAGAAGAGAAGATACCTTTAGAAGATCTATTTAATCTAATATTTAATGTATATATGTTGATAATTTGTAAAATTTAATTTTTTTTCTAAAATGTTAAATTTTTATTAAAATGCATTTACGCAAGTTTTTGTTTTTTTATTTTCGACGTTACCATTACGGCGCGAATTAACGTAATATTTTAGCGCCTATTCTGTAAAATACCAAAAGCGAACACCGAGAATATTCGTTCCGAGAATTAACGAACTTCACCGAGTTTAGGGTGCGCCGTGTACAGGTCCGCCGCAAATTGTTTTCTAGTATTTAAATTGAGTGGATTTATATATATATATATATATATATATATATATATATATATATATATATATATATATATATATATATATATATATATATATATATATATATATATATATATATATATATATATATATATATATATATATATATATATATATATATATATATATATATATATAAATAAAAGGTTAGATGAGAAAAAACAACTTTTTTACGGTACTTAAAGTTTCATGCCGTTTTCGGCACTCATCAGCCATATATTTAAATCAAGAAAAAACCGTTCAAAAATACAATTAAAAAACCGTTACAAAATTCAAAAAAAACAATGGAATGAGTTCTGACGTCAAATAATTATAATACAAATAATAGCAATAATAATAATAATAATATAATAATAACAATAATAATAATAATAATAGCAATAATATTAATAACAATAATAATAACAATAATAATAATATTATGGAAAAAACATCTTTTCTAATCGCCAGTGTCAAATTGAGAAAGGAGGAATCTGTTTCTATGTCTGCACTTAGAAACAATTTATCTCCTTTTATTTAGTAGATTAGTTTTTTTATAATTTAAGATTTCATATTTTTCGGTGAGACATAATTTACAAGATTTGGATGTAGGATTATATGCTTTACATCGCCTGAGAATTTTCCACTTAACTATAGGAACTAAATTGGCTTCTTTTAATTTCCATACCTGCTTTGACAGCTCAGTATCATTTTTGTATTTTGGGATGTTAAAAGATTTAACGTGGTTAGCGTATCTCAATTTAAAAGAAGTCTCACTTACACCGATGTAGGATTTTTCGTTAGGAGATGAATTACTAGTGGTGGTTACAGTTGCTTGGTATACAATGTTGCTTATTAAACATCTATTGGACAACGGGCAGAAATTTTTATCTAAGCAGTTAGAGTTTTCTTGATTAGAGTTTGTATCGTTGTATAAAATGTATTTGTTGTGCGAATTTATGATCGATTTCACACTTGGCATACAACTGTAGCTAACTTTGACTGTGTTCCTGTTAAAGATTTTATGTAGTTTGTTATTATTAGGAAAATGTTTGCCAATTAATTTCAAAAAACATTTTCCCACGTTGGTGCTAACATTTTTGCTAAATGGAGGATTAAACCAAATGATGTTGCGTGCTCTGTTCCGTTTTTTAGTTGATATTGCTTTAGGATTATATGTTAGATTACATTTAAAACCAGACTTTAATAAAGCCTTATTATATAGAGGAACAGCCTGTTGAAATATTTCTTTGGTAGAAGAATTTGTAGATAATCTAAGTTCAACCGAGTGTGGTATTTGTTTTAGTATACTTGGAGGGTGATTTGAATCAGCGTGGATATAATTTAATGTATTATCAGGTTTGAGATAAGGTTTAAAGGTGCACTCACTAAGATTTAGAGTGACGTCGAGGTAGTTGACAATTTTTATGTTGCATTGTATAGAAATCCGTAAGCCATTGTATTTAAATATTTCGGAAAGATGCTTCTTTATTTTTTCCATTTGAGAGCCGCTTTTATTCCTAAAAACTGCTAATACATCGTCACGGTATGTTTTTAATCCGTTAGTTATAATAAAAATTGTTCTTACTATTTGAATTCTTGTTTAAAAAGAAAAGCGCTTTCCATCGCATTCTTTTGATTAAAGTTTCAGTTTTATCCAATAATTGCATTTTGAAGTCTTTAATGGATGGTATCGGAATGTTCTTGACTGAATATCCAAAGTTTATTTTTTCCATCACATATGTGACTTGAGTAGAGTGCTCAACGTATGGAGCAAAAATATTGTTGTTTTGATTATTTGATAATAATCAACTCTTTTTCGATTTGAGAGTGATCAATATAAAGTGAAATAATCACTAAATAGATCAATAAATAAATAAATAAAAGGTTAGATGAGAAAAAACAACTTTTTTACGGTACTTAAAGTTTTTTATTGATCTATTTAGTGATTATTTCACTTTATATTGATCACTCTCAAATCGAAAAAGAGTTGATTATTATCAAATAATCAAAACAACAATATATATATATATATATATATATATATATATATATATATATATATATATATATATATATATATATATATATATATATATATATATATATATTTTATAAAGATATTGCTAACTTTTTCTAAACTTGTGATATCATTTTTACTTTTTACCTTGCATCAAAGAGATGTGTGAATACCCAGTGTCAACAAGACGTGTTTTGGACGTCTAAAATATATTTAAGACACTTAAATTTGAGTTTTAGACGTTTTAAATACCTTTTGTGACCACTAAGTAGGAAGAGTGTGAAAAGGAAGTTTTAAAAGAAAAACAACTGCCATTAAGCAGCCGTGTGAAGCAGTGGTTAGAACATTTGCTCCAGAATCAAAAGGTTCATTTGATGTTTTTTTTCTGGGGATATATTCAACATCGGTATTGAAAGCTACGTGAACTTCCTTGTTAAACACCCTTATGAGTTGTTTTATGAAAACACCAGCAGGTTTTTTTGGAGCACTTCAAAAACCTATTTGTTTGAAGGAATAAAAAACTGTATTGTTGAAGGAATAAAAAACTGTTTGCTTCATTTGGGATGCAAATTTAATATTTTAGCAAATTTAATATCTTAGCAAATTTAATCTTACTTAATAAGTTTTTTAAATATTTTTCTTGCATTTAGAATGGGAACCATGTTCCCATGAAACCGATTAGCGTGATAGGTGTTTATGCTTTTTAAACGCACATTTTACAAAAGTGTTTTTATACTATTGATTCAACTTGGTATCTGTTCTGGAATCTTCTATTTACTATGTTTAATTGAACGTTTTTTACACTCAAGCTTTGTAAACAGTTTGTTTATAAACAAAAATAGACTCCTCCAATCAAATTCAAAATTTTCAAACCGTTACCAAAATTCAAAATAATGTTATAAAATAATGGCAGCATTTTATTTAAAAAAATTAAAATGAAATCCGTTAGGGAAAAAGTAAGCGAATACTTTCCTTTTTTATTTAATTTGTTATTGGAAATTAGATATAGCTCAGTAAATTATAAATAATATTTATCATTGAATTTTTAATTTGAAAAAATTATATTTCCAAAATGAAAAAAAATATGAGATGATTGTTATTGAAATCTAAATTTTTGCAACATATTTTAAAGTTAGCATACTATTATTAAAACATTTATCATATAATCAAACTGATTTATATACAGAAATATAATTAGTAATTTTAAAATTATAATTAATAATTTGTTTATTCTATTTATTTTTAGTTATAAACTGTTTTTCAAATCAGAATGAAAATAATAATAACAATAATAATAAAGCATTTAAAATTTTTATAATGGATAGCAGTTACATTTTATGTTGTTGTTAAGAAAAACATTTTATTAATACACTTTTATGCGACAAAAATACATATTTATGTGACCAAATGTGTATTTAGTAATTTATATATATATATATATATATATATATATATATATATATATATATATATATATATATATATATATATATATATATGTATATATATATATTTATATATATATATATATATATATATATATATATATATATATATATATATATATATATATATATATATATATATATATATATATATATATATATATATATATAAAAAATACTACAAACCGGTATTTCTGTATTTTAATGGTTGTTTTTTAATTCATTATTTTTAACAATATTTGTATACTTCATTTCATTTTTAAAATTGATTTATAACAAAAATTTAAATTAAAGAACCAACATTTAAGTAAATATTAAAATGCACCAATTATAAATTTATCTTTTTAAAGTATTTTTTATTCTATCATATATATTTTAACTGTTTTTGTGAGTAAAAACCCAATATATAAACAAAAGTTGTCAAACTCTGATTCTAAATCATTTATGAAACACTGCAGTGTTTTATCAATGATTTTTTGACATCAGATATAAAGATTTAAATTAAGTGCACTGAGTTTAAAAGCTGAGTTTAACTCACTATACTTGACTCGTTATTAAAATCATTCAAATTCCTAAAAGGTTCATAATTAAAAAATTATTATGGAAATTGGTTACCATAGGTCATCCATAAATTATGTATGCAGGTATGGGGAGGGTGTCACCCAAATGTATACCAATGCTTACAAGGAAAAGGTGGACAATTTTTTGTTTGAATTTTTTTAATGTGAAGTCTGGGAAATCAGACGAAAAAGCTTTGGTTTCTTCACTAATGCATTAGTTTATCTACTGGAAGAAATATGTTACTGAGGCTTTGATATTAAATAAAAATAATGAAATATCACATAGTTTTATTTATTTTCTAGCCTTCTAGCTGTTCTCAAAAATGTAAGTTTATTTCAAACCAAGTTTTCACATTTTAAATATTATTTAAAAAATTTCCATCTGGGGTCATCCAGAAAAAATGTCATGCTAAGTTTAACTAATGGCTAGAAGCAGGAGAGTGTTGGCTCTTGTGTGCAGATATTTTTAGAGTATTATAGCGCTTTATGTTCAATGAAAGTCTTTGCGGATGGGAAGCCGCAATAAACTTCTACTTTAGTTAGTATTTAAATTCTTAATGACGTTCTTTATGGACTTCATTCAGAATTCAAAACTTAGTAAATTTGACTTTGAAACCTCTCTTAAGAGTTTTTAAGTTTTAGGTTGGCAGTTAGGTCGGCATTGCATTGACCCTAATTCCGAGGGCTGACTATATTATATAATTCTATTCCCAACAGGCACTTTAAGTTTCTTTTTTGTAATTGAAACCTAATATATATAATATATATATATATATATATATATATATATATATATATATATATATATATATATATATATATATATATATATATATATATATATATATATATATATATATATATATATATATATATATATATATATATATATATATATATATATATATATATATATATATATATATATATATATATATATATGTCGAGAAATATATATATATATTTCTAACCCGACGTTTTCTCACTTTCGCTCTAATTCCTTTGTTCTTTCCAAAATAAGTTACTGTTAGTCAGTGAAGCGGGTTATGATGCTTTTTAGTGACGCGAACTTATCTTTGCGGGCCTTGGAAACGTGGCCTCTGTGTGGCAACTAGCTTGAGGAAAATAAACCACAATACTTACAGATTTATATTTTGAATTTTTCTGTTCTAATTTTTAGTTTTGTTTAGATTTAATATTTTTGATAAATAGACTTAGTTATAAACTTGACCAATTTGAAGATATCAGTTAAAATATTTAGTTAAATTATATAAGACACAAAAGTTTTTGATATTCTAGTGTTTTAAATTTTATTTGATGTTTTTAAATTTTAAATGCAATAGTCATTAATAAATTGAACATTATTGAACCTGTACGAAATCAAAGCTTAGATTAATAAAGTTTTAGTTTAATAAATTGTTATAAATAAAAGATTACGCTAGATATTTAATTATTAAGGATTCAAAGTTTGGAATTTTTATTGGTGTTGCAAATTTTGATATTTTGATACTTTTATCCAATTCAAAATAGTTAAGCTAAGTTTTTTGTGGACCTAAATAAACCAAATAGACCTAAAAAAACTATGCGAGTTAACAAATAGTTTGACTTAACCAGAGTATAATTAAGGGAGAATATGATAAAGTTCAACAGGAATTTTAAAAACGTCATGCTTAATTTATCTTTCAAGTAGAAAAAATAAATTAATGGTTCTCTTGCATTGAGGTTTTTAATTTTAATTTATGTGATCCGATGGCGATCACAAATAATACAGAATATGTATTATAACTTATATTTTTAAGATCTTAACCGTTTTTACATTAACTATATTACTTATATTTTTCATATTTTTGTATATGAAAAACAACAACAACAAAACTTTATTTATACAAAAATTTCATTCAATAACAAAAAGATACTATTGTTATAATAGTCGCCACATAATTGTTATTTAGTTCGTTATAGCCATATTGGTGCTATTTACTGGTTATATAGATCGTGGTATCGGAACGTTGTTTTTCTTTTATGCTAATTCGATCTTCTTCCAATCATTCCCTCTTTTTGATAGACTCCATATTCTTAATTATCAAATATTCTTAATTATCAAACTCAAGAAGACAATATTGTAATTGGTCGTATAAATTCTTTTTTTGCCAATTTTGACTTTCATAACTCTTACACGTCCATTTTTACCTTTAAAGACTTCCGTAATTCTAACAAGCGGCCAATGTCCTCTAGGTGTATCAGGAGAAATTACTAACACAATGTCATCAGTTTTTATTTTGCGTTTTTCTTGATTCCATTTATATCTTTTAGATAAAGATGGAAGCCATTCTTGGATCCACTGTTTCCAAAATTGATGAAGTAGTTCTTGCACTCGACGCCAGCGCTTTTTAGGATGATAGCCTTTAGATTGAACTGAGTCAGGTGCGAATTGTCCACCAACTTGCCCAATCAAGAAATGATTTGGAGTTTTGGAGTGCCAATATAAAAGATGATATTTGCAATATCATCTTTTATATTGGCACTCTGATACGTTAGTGGGCAAGAATTCTATAAACTCTCAGCACCTGTAAACGCAGTACAGAGTTCTTCATCTGTAATATCAGCTTTTTTGAGTATCCCAGCCACTGCATGTTTGACAGCCTTGACCATTATTTCAAATACATTGCCAAAATGAAGTCCTTTTAATTTTATCCTTATCTAAGTCGTTGACAATTTTGTTTAGTTCTTGACTTCCTCCAACAAAATTTGTTCCATTGTCTGTTAAAACTTCTAATGGTAATCCTCCTCTCTTCACCATTCGATAAAAGGCATTGAGGAATGAATTTGTATCTAGATTATAAGCCATCTTAAGATGTACTGCTCGTGATAATAAACAGCTAAACAAACACAAGTATCTCTTTTGTCTTATCTTCCTCTACCTTGCATAGTAAGAAATGGACCAGCAAAGTCGACACCAATTCTAGCAAACGCATGTAGTGGTTCTTTAAAGCGCATTGCTGGTAAAGGGGCCATCAGCTGTTGAGCAGGTTTACATCTTCTTAATTTACAGTTGTTGAATTTTGCTTCTGCATCTCAGATTTCTTCTCATCCTCATATTACCCAATATTGTTCTGATAGTTTTGTTAATAATTGATTTGTTCCCATCACATGATTGGCTTCGTCATGGTAATGTTTAACAATCAATTTTGTTATTGTATGTTCTCTTGGCAAAATGGATGGATGCTTAACATTGTAGGGTAAGTAATGGGCATTTTGCAATCGACTACAAGATCGCAATAATCCGTCTTCGTCAATTTGTGAATTTAAAGAAATGATTTTGCTTGATATTGATATCAGTTTTCCTTTTTCAATGTTGCTATATTCTTCTTTAAAGTTTTCTTTTTGGGCTTTAGCTATGACTTCTTTTTCGCTTTCATGATATTCATCAGCTGCTATATCACCCTTTTTACGAAAGTCTGTTTCAAATCGACAATTTCCTATAAACCGATGGATCCAGCTGTTTATCCTGACAAGTTTTTTTCAACATGAGAACTTATTTATATCAAGCAATTGCTTTTTTACTTCAGTGGATAATGCAAAATTCATTAATACTCGATTTTTCTTTACTTCAATTGAAGCCTCTTGTGTAACTTCCATTGATTCTGTGGCCTTTTTTCTTCTAAAGAATTAAGGAAACTTGGTCCATGCCACCATACATTATTACTTTCAAATTCTTTAACTGTTGTTTCTCTTGTTAGTAAATCAGCTACATTAGTTTTTGTTGGTATGTATCTCCATTGTTTTAGTTCAGTTTTTGATTGAATGAATCCAACACGGTTGGCAACAAATGGTTTCAATTTTTGAATTTTAAGACTATTACACCATATAGTTACCTTAGTTTCCAGCTTCAATGCTTTGACAATCTTCTCTGCAAGTCATAGCCCAATAAGAAAAATGACGTCGGAACAACGTTATATTTTAGCTAAAATGACGTTGAGTCAACGTCTTTTCTACCGTTTTATACACGTTGGAATAATGGCATATATGAAACATAGGTCAACGTTATATTAACAATGTTGCGAAACATTGTAAGAAAAATGCCCTCCAACATTTTTCTATCATTTTTGATGTTATTTCTACACTGCAAAAAACAATAAAGGACAATTTTACACTGTATAACTTTGCGCTGTCAAGCTATATTTCTTCTTATTTATTTAGGTTATACACGATTATTATATTAGTCCGGGCAAATAATTGAATACGGAAATTAAAAGACTAAAAATAAATAAACGTTGCATCACTTCTATTCCAAAATTTTAAAATTATATACAATAACTTAGAATGAAACTAGTTTGATTTTTATTTTCTTTGCAAATTTCAATCATATCTCAAATAATTCGTGTATTCTTTGTTTGACACTAAAAGACAAATATATATGAATAAACATAAAGTTACAAACAAATCCAATTAAAAGTATTTTTAAGAACTAAATAAAAAACATTCGGAATAAACAAATAGAAATACCACAAATACCAGAAATCGCGCTATCTTTCTATTTAATGCTAACCTGAGTTTTTCTGCTTTTGAAAGATTATCGACTGTAAATCGTTTAGCAACATTATCTGAAGTAGAATAAACAATACCTCAATAAAATACAAAACTAATGAAATTGCCTCCAAAATAATTTTAATTGAATAAATTAATTTTGTTTATTTTAAACACACAATCATGAAATAATGGGAAAAAAATATGTCTAGTTTTACCCTCAAAAGATATAAAATATCTTTGAGTTCAGATTTCTGGAAAGTTATTTTTTTACAAGTGTTATTTTGGCAATATATTTTTTTATAACATGAATTGCATGGTAAATAAAGAAACTGAAATGGTACATTTTCACTAAGCAAAGAATCAAAAATTGTTTTTATAAATAGCTCTCTTTAAGACTAATGATTACTTTGTTAGGTGTTTTTTCTTCCAATCCGAACTACTTATATTTCACTTATTAACCCTTGACTATTTGAGCAAGTGGCATCTTCTTACCAAAAGCCAATAACTTTTTAAATAAAAAGGCAGACATATCAAGAAGCAATCATTCAGAAAACTAAAAAAAAATTGAATAAGGTTATGTAAATTGTATGTTATGAATTTTGGACCATAATAATCCAAAGCCTTAATAATCCAGTTTAGTTTGTATCTTCAGTGCATAGAGACCAGTATACAAAAGAAACTAACTATAGTCTTTTATTTTTTAAAACTCCACCTGTGATCTAGACTTTCTGTTGTTAACAAAATCAGATGGTTTTTTACCATCTGATTTTGTTAAAAGTCATGAGACTTTTCAAAAATATGATTAATTTGAACATATGACAAATCACATACCTCTGGCTTCGTTTTTTCAAAATATCAATAATTGACGGACAATGCCAAAACAAACTATATAATATAAACTAGATGATCTATTATATAAACTAGATGTCAAACTTGCGGTCCTTTATTGAACAAAAAATGATGTCGCTTTTTTTTCTTAAAAATATTATTTGCCAAGCTGAAGCAAATGTGTGGAACAAAAGTTCAAAATGTGAGTCAAAATTAACCAATAAATTTAAGACAATTCAAAAACATGTTATAATAAATATAAAGTACTTATCAAGGTTTATATAAGGTTTATTTCTATTTTAAATTTTAATCCCTTTTTAATCGAAAATAAATTTAGAAATCATAAATTATTACTTTACAAGTACTCTAATTTCCTCTTAACACTTTTACATATATAGATTACATATATAGATTTAAAATATATTACATATATAAAAATATATTTACTTCATATATATAAAAATAGTTAAAAAGTGTTTGTTTACAAATTTAATCTGTCATTTGTAAAAAAAAAGCGGCTTGACTTTTTGGATTGAAGTAAGTTTAACTAGTCATTGGTTAATACACATGTGATCATTATAGAGCATATTTTTAATATCAATGGCTAGATGTTAAAACCAAGAAAAATGTAACTACAATAATTTTTCAGTTTTCACACGATTAGGTGTTTTAGTAACATTTATTTCCTATGCCCATGTTGCTGCATTCAAACAAGCAAATTATATAATGAAAAATGTGCAACTAAATGTTTAACTGGCCATTGAACAAGGTCAAAAATTAAAAACCAGGACAAATATCAAAGGGTTTACTAAATGAGCACTTTTTATGGAGAGTTTAGCAAAATATAACATAGAATCACTTTAAAAAATATAAAAACTATTGGAATAGGCTTAAAGAAAAAATCACTGATTAAACTTCAATAATTATCATTTTCTAATAAACTGTTTATAAAACAATTAGCTTTTCACAATATAATTGATCTTGATATCATCATACATTTATATTTGTTTATCTGAATGCACAAATATATAAACTATATATATATATATATATATATATATATATATATATATATATATGTATATATATATATATATATATATATATATATATATATATATATATATATATATATATATATATATATATATATATATATATATATATATATATATATATAGTTACTTATAACAATTTATTCATATATTGTTAATAATATTTTTAATACTTTTGACATAGATACTTTATAGTATTATAAATACAAAAATTTTATAAAAATTTTGACAATTTTCTTAATTTAAAGTAGCATTTTTTAACTTTTAAAAAATAAACTTTTATAATAAAAATACGTCAAAATGTTCTATTGATATTATTTTTATAGCCATTTGTATTAGTTTGCTAATGTGTTATATAAATATTTACATGCAATATGTATACTAATTTAAAGTAATATTAAAATAATAATCAACAGAATATTTGCATTTATATATATATATATATATATATATATATATATATATATATATATATATATATATATATATATATATATATATATAGTTACTTATAACAATTTATTCATATATTGTTAATAATATTTTTAATACTTTTGACATAGATACTTTATAGTATTATAAATACAAAAATTTTATAAAAATTTTGACAATTTTCTTAATTTAAAGTAGCATTTTTTAACTTTTAAAAAATAAACTTTTATAATAAAAATACGTCAAAATGTTCTATTGATATTATTTTTATAGCCATTTGTATTAGTTTGCTAATGTGTTATATAAATATTTACATGCAATATGTATACTAATTTAAAGTAATATTAAAATAATAATCAACAGAATATTTGCATTTATTCATAATGCCTGTAATGTTCTGAATATACATAAAACAAATAAAAATATAAATGAAGAAATACAAAAGTTACCTCTGAATTAAGTCCTTAACATATTTTGCTAACTTTCAGCCATTACGTGAGAGTTGGCCTAAAAAGAAAAAAATATAAAAAAGGCACATTGAGGTAATGAAACATTAGAATTATTCAATATTGTTTTTTCACAATTTTGTTAGGCTGCAACCAATCTAAAATGTGTAAAAATATTTATAGGCTGAATAAATAGGATGACATAATTTGTAAAGCAAATGATTTAGATTCATTTTAATAAAGTGATTGTAAATTTTTTGCTGTTTCAAAAGCTGGGCGTTAAAATATATTGTCCAGGTTTTGTTCTCTAAATCATGTTAAACATATTGAAATCAAACTCACAAACTGTTGAGCAAAACCTTTGTTACCAATTCTTAGTGTAAACTCGTTCAATATTCTATCGTTAAGTTTAAGTTTAAGATTAAAAAATGTGATTATGTATATTTAAGTCGACTTGTTCTGATTTTAAACACCTTGATAACTTAGTACTTTAACTCTGCACATAAAAATTGAAGAAAAATAATAACATTCAAAAAATATATATTTTAACTTGGCATAAGTTTTATTAAAATATAAAACTAATTAGTTTTTCGGTTAGAAAGATGAGAGAATAAGTAAATGATAGTACTATGACGATATATATATATATATATATATATATATATATATATATATATATATATATATATATATATATATATATATATATATATATATATATATATATATATATATATATATATATATATATATATATATATATATGTATGTATGTATGTATTTTGGTATGACATATCAATTTTAAAAATATCATATACAAAAACTACACACAAATATATTTGACATGTACTTTATTGAAATACTTTGAAGTTATTGAGTTGAGAGGGGGTTATAACCACAATTGAAATAAAAAGGAGCCTCCTCAACTGCAGCACCCTTTATGGCCTTTATGCCAAAATCAGCTCTTTCTTTCAACTCTGAAATTAGGGAAACATGAGATTGTGATTCATTTTGAAAATTAAATACTGACTGAGTGTATATCATCTAAGACTTTGTGTGTTAATTTAAATAAATATTTTGTTTATTATGACTAAGATCTAGTGTAAAATTTAGATGTTCTGTTGCTGTTTCTGTAGGATATGTTTTTCGCTTGCCTAATAGTGAGAAGTTATGAGTTCTATCCTTACCATGTTCCTGGTAGTAACTTGGAGGTGAATAACAATAAAATAAAATAAAAATAACTTAATACAAATATATAAAAAATTGTTTACCCTTTTTCGTAACTTAAGACTCAAACTTATGAGAGTCAGTGTTAGTTATAATATTGAAGGAATAGCATGATATGATTATACCAATATACAAATTTGTAAAAGAAACACATTACACAAGTTATAAGAAGCTTATTAGGTAATTTCTAGTCTAGTTCCACAACAAACTAAAAAACTTTCTATTCAAATAAATAAAACATATATTATGATTAAGACATTGTCTTATTATAACTTAATTGTCTTAAATTTATACTTAATATATTATGTATATTAAATAAAAAACCTTGTTTTAATACAACTTACAACTGTCTTAGACAACTGAATTGAATGTCTTTAAAAAAAAGGCTCTGTATTTTTATTGGCATTTAATTAAACTGCTAAATAGTTTAATAACGGGTATTTAAGAAACCTATCATTACATTATCTATTTGTAAATAAAATATTATGTGCAAATATTATATATGTTATAATAACTATATAAGTAATGTTAAATATACAAAGTATACAAAAACATAACAAAAATGCCAACAGTTTTTGAAAATCAAATAAAGTTTTAGTAACTTTTATTTATCATTAATATGATAAAATTTTAATATCTAATTTGAATGTAGAATATAAAGAAATAATGTATTAGTTATTAGTATCACAGAATATAATGCCTAAAAACCATTAAATTAAAATTAGATTAAAAATAACATCTTTTTCGATAACAGTTTTTCAAGCATTTTAAAAATGCACAAGTTTGTAAAATCAAGTTGTGTTTACGTTAGAAAGCTGACATTGCTTTTATGTCAAAAGTAAAAACGTAAAAAGCGTTGTTCCAAAGTCGTTCCAACGTTAATCAGACTAACGTTGGTTTTACGTTAAACAACCAATGTTGTTCCAACGTCGTTTTAATGTTAACCTTCAAGACTTGAGATGATAACGTTTTTCTGACATTGTTCCAACGTTTGATAGCAAACGTTAGAACAACACCGTTATACCGACGTTGGAACATCGTTGGAATTTAGTTAACTTGCGTCGCGACCAAAATACAACCAATTTTCAACTACGGCTTGACGTCTTTTTCTTACTGGGAATCCGAGGACAACTCCAAGTAACTCAAATCTTGGTATACTTATAGATTGCAATGGCTTACTCGGGCTTTTGACATGATCACACAAGTCCCTTTTCCTGTGTCATTTAAACATTGTTGATAAGCAACAGCACCATAAGCGTTACAAAATGCATCTGTAAAAACATGGATTGACCTATTTGTAACTGTTGAAGTTGTTTGTAAACATCTGGGAATGTTTATTTTTGGGAGATCATTTAGTTCTTGAAACCATTGATCAACATTATTTTCAATCCTATCCGGAATTGCATCATCCCACTCAATTCCATCAATCCACAATTCTTGCATAATTATTTTGATTCAAATAATAAATGGTGCTAAAAAACCCAATGGATCAAACAACGTTGCAATTTTTTTAAGCAAAATTCGTTTTGTATATATCGTATTTTCTTCAGTTGCAACAGAATGAAAACTAAATAAATCAGATTTTGCTCTCAAGACAACTCTAAGTGTTTTCATTGCAGGCTATTCTCCAGAATCTAAATTTCTATGTTCTGCACGATCATATTCTGGTGTTATTTTAAGAACTTCACTGAGTTTGAAAGCCACTTTTGTGCAAACATTCCTGCTGAACCCCATAGTAGTGTGAGTTCCTTGTATAATTGAATTCCTACTTTTTCTTCAACTACAGAAGTTATTGTGTTGTCCATGTAAGTTGCTTCGAGAACAGCTTCAGAAGCCAAAGGAAATTTTTGTGCATACTTTCTTGCGTGTTCTTGCGTTATAATATGAGCCATAAAAGAGTTGATTCCAAATACCAGTCGATTAAACTGAAATACCTCAGGCTTGGCAGTTGGATCTAGGTTTCTCCATAAAATTCGTTGGTACCTTTAGTCATCTTTGAGTATTCCAATTTTTAAATACATTTCTGTTATATCACAAGCTAAAGCCACTGGATATTTTCAAAATCTCAGCAAAACAGTCACAAGGTCTTGTTGAAGTTTTGGACCTTGATAAATAACATCATTATTTGATTTACCATTATATTTTGCAGATCCATCAAACACAATTCTGACTTTTGTAGTTTATTTATCAGGATGAAGAATTGGAAAATGTGGTAATTACCAACCATCTCCAAGAACCCTTTTAATGATTTTCTCCAAATATCCCTTTTCTTGATACTGCTTAATAATATTATTGTACTCTTCTCCAAGACTTTTGTTTTTCATTAGGCGTTTTTTTTGTGTTTTGTAATCTGTTTAACGCCATTGTATAAATATTGTTCAAATGTCTATTACCTTTCCATGGTAATTTTAGCTCATATCTTTCGTTCTTAGTTTTTAGCGAATTATTTACTATATTAAGGGTGGTAGAGTCTTCTGGGCTTGTCATTGTTTTTCTGAATTGCATCTCTTCATCGCCTTCAATTTCCTTTAATTTTTTAATGGTGTTGTTTGCATCTTCTATTTCCTTTGTACTAGATGTTATTTTTGTAAAATGGGTTTGAAGGGATCTACCAGTACCACCAACACATGTCCATCCGAGCTGTGTGAGTCATGCCTTTGGTTCATTAAATCCTTCTTTTACTTCCTATGTGCAGCTCAGCGTAATCCACACTGATTAGAATGTCAATTTTTGGTTTTGGTCCAATATTTGGGAATTCGATTTTTCTTAGATGTTTCCAACTTTTTGACAAATTTGCCCAATTAACTGCTTTTAAGTTACCAGTTACATTATTAACTGTAAAAGCTTCCGCTGTAATTTTTGTTTCTCCATTCAACAATTCCAACTGAAATTCTACCAGCATTGTTTTGAAAGAATCAATTTTTCCATTTATCATGGTTACAGTTACCTTTTCGGTTTTACCTTGCAGTGACAACTCAGCCGCTACATCGGAGTTTAAATATGTCTTGGTACTTCCATCGTCAAGCAATGTGTTTACCACAACTTTTTTATATCCATTACGAAGAATAACTGGCACCGTTTTAAGAGATATGAAGTTCATGATGTGATTTGAATAAATTTGGATGTTCGACGTCTGAGAATTTTCTAATATTGTCTCTTATTCTTTGAAGTCTTCAGAAATTGTTTTATTTTGATGTCTTTTTTTTTGAAGCAAACGATTATGGGTATTTGTACATCCGTCAATCCCACAAATTCTTGTGTTCCCGCATTCTTTTGACGAATGGTTAGAATTCAAACATCTGAAGCAGAGTTTATTTTTCTTAGCTGTTTCCCATCTTTCTTTAATATTTTGATTTTGAAACGTTGGACACTCCCATATTTTATGATCGTTTTTGCAAACAGAACATTTCTGTATCCATTTTTTTTTTTTTTTTTGATCACTGTTACTAAATTAAGAATTTCTTTTGTGTGCTTTGCTACCAATAGTTTTTTTTAAACCATGTAGAGTTTCCGATGCTGCGATTTGAAAATCTGCTTCTTCAACAATAAACTTTTTTAGAGTTTCAACATTTTTGTTTAATTTGTTTTCATATACCATTGTTTGTATTTAATTAACATTATCTCAGGAACTTTTTTTTGCAATTGATGGTACAATGTCCCATCGCCAAGTTCTTCTGTTCAATTTGCTTCTTTTAAGTTTGTTACTGCCACATCTAACAAATCTGCAAACTTTTCAACGTCTTTTGGATTATTTTCCCTCATATGTTTAAAGTTGTTTAATTCATCGAAATACATAAGGATTTTTCTCCTTGTTCCGCTGTATTTTCTTTTAAGTCTTTTTTTTGCAGCTTCATAAGCAAATGATGAATGCCCAAGTCCTTCAATTGCTTTTAATGCGTCTCCATATAAATATTGACGTAGCTGAAGTAATTTATACTCAGATGTTGCTGGGGCTTGATCAATGCATGCGTAGAATAAAGCTTTCCAATTTTCATAGTTCCTTTTATCGCTATTCAGCGACGTATCCAGGCCGATTTTGATACCGGTATACCGGTATGGGCCCCCAAATTTCAGCCCAAACTCAATTTAAAACACTTTTATATTAGCATTTGTTACAATTACATAAATATCAACATTTGAAAAACGACTTTTAAAGTACATTATAAGTGTATTTTAAAAGTCGCATTTAAAATACATTATAAATGTATTTTAAAAGTAAAGTATTTTAAAACTTAAAATACATTATAAATGTATTTTAAGCCAAACAAAATGCTTAATTCGAATTCACGTTGATGAAATATAGAATATGTTGCAATTGGATTAAATGTAAAACGCACGTTTTGATTGGATTAAAATATGAAACGCTTAGCATTTTTAAATAACATTTTAAAATATATTAATATGAGTTTCTCCTCCGCTTACGTTTTCATAACATAATTTTCGAAGCAATTAAACTAGATGAGTTTTAAACTTTTTCATTTCAAACAACAGTAAAAATTGTTTGTAAAATACTTTAAATAATAAAACGAATGAAATTTTTTAAAACATAAAATTAAAATAACATTTATTTAAATAATTAAAATAACATTTTAATATTCGCGCCAAAAAACTTTATTGGAATAGTAAGAGTAGAACTTGAAAAAAAAGTTATGAACATTTGAATGAATTAAAATTTCGAATGAATTTACCTTGTTTTAAATACGCTATGTAATAAAGTTTATATCAAAGAGTCATACAAATATTGTTTATTAAAAGTTATAGTTATTGTTTGTTTATGAAATCATACTCTTTTTATTTCTAGTTGATAATATTTAATATTTGGAATTTAATTATTTAATAATTAGCATTAATTTATAAATAGTAAGTGTATGGAGCAAGTAAATGAAAAGTAGCGATTAGCGATAAATCATTATATATTATATACGAAGAATTGTATTTAAATTTGAGGAAAAAAAAAGAAAAAAAAAAAAAAAAAAAAGGTCCTCTAAGATAGGCAGAACTTTTAGACTGGTATGCCCAAATTATTCCTGGATACGTCACTGCTATTAAACATTGGTATAGAGACGTGTTTTTCACTTTTCCAATTGTCCAATTTTTGCAGTCTTTTGATCCAAATCAATTATTTCATTTTCCATTTTACGCATGATATTTGTTGATTTGATTGGTTTAATTTCGCTACTGCCATTTTCTTCTTTATTATCTTCATACTGGTCATTACTTTTTTGAGTACTTAA